CTATAAATAGACATCAATGAAGGATGTGTTTAGTCACTTCGAAATTTACCACTTGTTTCTCTCTTGCATCTTATTTTATCTGTTTTAATACATTTTTTCCTCTGAAAATGGATCCAACCAGTTCTCTACCTAGATGCAATGACAACATTAAATAATGATAGTGGGTCAAATGTGGATTTTATATTCCTTTTTCAAATTAAATAAATTAATAATGGTGAAATATACCAAAAATATGGAGAGAGAATGTACAAATTTTAAGTGACCTAGGTCACCATAGTGGAGTGAAAGTATGATAGGTTAAAGATGATTAAGTTTTTGGAGGAAAGTGATGTGGAAGAGAGAGGAGAGGATCAAAATCCACCACCATTGTGGATGCTCTTAGCTGCGCTCCCCCATCCGCTTCCTGCCATTGTCCATGTCCTGTCCCCCTACTACACACGTTTAGTTTTGAAATAATGACATGAATAATAGTAATGACTTTCTAATGAATAAAAGTAAAGACCTATCAATATGGACAAAAAAAACTTTATGTGCCCTGTGTATATATATATAGTTGGTTGTCTTCACTATCTAGCATGAAAAATTCACTTGGAAAGCCTCACCACTATTATGTGCATGTGTATGTTGTGATAGCCAGGGATGGATTTAGGGGGGGCGCGGGGGGCGACCGCCCCCCTTGGACATTCAAATTTTTTTACCATATATGTAATATTTTCATAAAACTTTCATAATTTAATTAGATTCGCCCCCCTTAGCTTTTAATTTTCAAAGTTAGTATATAGTCTTACATAATGTAATACTTATTGGAGATTTGAAAGAATAAACATCTAAAATAATTTACATAACTTAAACAAATAAACAATAGAGTAACTCGTTATTTAAGATTTAGGATACTTATTATATAAGAATTCCTAGTTTTGTAATGTTTAATTATCTTTATTAGATAACAAGTACTGGATTTTGTAAAACATATATCAAACAATATTAAATACCAGACACACTAATTACACAATTTTTAGATCACATGAAATGAATCCAAAATATAAATATTTATAGACATTAGATTACATAATTCATTTACTTCTTGGTTTCTAAAAATAATTTATTGCATGGATAATAAACTTTAAATTATTATAGAATTAATAAAAATATTAAAATATAATATGCGCCATATATACGTGTGTGTGTGTATGTGGTGCACATTATTCTAAAAATAACAATTTCATACATACTAGTATACTACTATTGTAATATTAAGAAAACTTCTCATGAGTCATGACTCACGAACACCCTCCTTGGTGGACAAAAATTACAATTCAATAACCAATTTATGAGGTTAAACAATGTAGAAGTTATTAAAAATGTATTGGTTGATGTCTTTGTCATCGTCTAAACTTAAAATGTATTAGATTTAAATGCCGTTCGGGATGTGCATGTATTAATGTCATTTTTTGAATAAAAATAGCCGCATAGTCCCACAGTAGCGAAAAAATTTCGCCCCGCTACACTAGGGGGAAAAAATTCACCCCGCTACACTAACGAAAAAAATTCACCCCCTACACTAACGAAAAATTTCGCCCCCCTTGACTCAGAATCCTGGATCCGTCCCTGGTGATAGCATTCATGAAACTTGACGCATGAAAGTGTTACTACGGGGTCGAAAAAATATGAAAAGTGAAAAAATGTACAATAAAAAATTGAAAAAATATCAAGTTAATTACCCTGCCTGATCACTATTAACGGCATATATAAGTGTTACTAGCATGGAAACACAAATTTTGGCTTCATTCGCACAGTACGACCAGGCCTTGGTAGAGGAGATCTAGACTTTGCATGTACATTTATAGGTGGTCATACATGAAACAAGTGGGCTTGCTCGACTCTCGACTTGCCGCCCTTCTCTTTCCCATTTGGGGGTAAGTTTCTAGATTTGCTATTTATTTTTGTAGTTTACTTCGTATTTATTATCATTTTCATTTCTAAAATTGTTAATTTTGTATGCAAGCTTCCCGTTGTGGAGTTTATTCATTATTAATCCAACTTTATAGATGGTTGGTTTTTTGTGCAAGTCTATTATTATTACTCTCTATTATGGAGTTTGTTCATTATTAGTCTCACTTAATAAACGGTTGGTTGCATTGTAATTGATGATTTGTTGATTTAGTGCTATTTTTACAACTATACCCATCTTAGTTCAATTGTAATCTTTCTAGGTTGTTTGATTGTTAAGTACTCCGTACTAATTATGTAATTTCCTTGTATCTAATCAGCAATTCGCGCATTCACTTTTGATAATTCGCAGATGTTTTTCTTTTTTAAAAAATAATAATATATCCTACTCCGTAGTACTCCGTATATATATATTCAGCACCGTGGCTTCTTCGAGATTTCCTCATGCCGCCACCCGCCTTACGGGAGACCAAAATTCCAAGGCCGCAACAAGTGGCCAGAGACTTTCCTAAAAAAAAAAAAGATGGCCCACATCCTTGAGGGCCCCCAACACCGACCGGACGGCACGATGGAGGGATGTAAATTGGACTATAATCACAATTTGACAGATAGAGAGTGATGATCCGTCCCCGGTACTTGCAAAGGCTCTATGCATTTTTAGCATAGTAACCTCTCATCAGTCATCGCAGTTGTCGGGATTCGAATCCGGGACCTAACCCTTGTGGCACTCCCTCGCTACTAGTTGAGCTACGCCCACCGGTGGCCAGAGACTTTCCTTTTGTCATTACTAGTATCTTTACCCGTACACCGTGCACGGGATAAAACGATTTTGTTTTAATTTTACTATATATATGTGCGCCCGCACACCTCACATATGTATGAGTAATTATAACTAACAGAAAGTCACTTAGTTAGTCGATTTTAACTACTTATGTAAACTTGTTTCAGTCTATATTTTCCAACTAAAACAATCATTTTTTTATAACTCTCTGTTGCGCCAAAATGAATTTCGTCTTCTCAACCATCTTTATCTAAACAAAAAAAAATTTGTTCAATACTTATTTTTAATATCAAAATACATCAAGATTTATGTTAATATTTAATATATACACTAAATTAAAAAAAAAAACTTTTACTCTTTCATAGATCAAATAAAAAAAATGATTCCAATTGAAAATATCTTTAATTAGAATGGTCAAAACAAATTTGAGATAACACTAACATAAATGTGTATTTAGCAAATATTAACATATGGAGTCTTATTTTTTACCTAGGTGAAAGATATTTTATTTTTTAGCTTTATTTTATTATGTAGAATGTAAGAAAAGTATTTAACGGTGCCGCTTCTACTCCATGACATCTAAAAAGCACAGGTTACTGAAAAAAGATGTCGATATCTAATTCAATAGTCATAGCACCTAGTACTTAGCTTGTGTAAAAAAATACTTCGTACTACGTAACATTTTTGGACATAAACAATGATATGAGACAATCAGCTTTATTGATGCCATATTTGTTGTATCAACCAAAAAATGATGAAGTAAAAAATGAATATGTGAATATGAGCGTCTTTCAAATAAAACATAATAAAGAAAGTAACAAATAAAATCTTAACCACAATCAAAATCTAAATGACATTATTTAATTGTGAAAATCAACCAGTAAATGAATGTTAGTTTTGAGGCTGGGAAGGTACTTACTAAAAATCTAGCATTACGGACCGGACCGGGAAGCGACCCGGCCGAGCTACCAGAACATGGGTTAGCCCGGACCCGGAGGGTCAACCCTGTCATCGCCGGGAAGACCCGGTCAACGTTTATAATATTGTATAGCTATAAATATATAATATTATGTAATTTTAAAATAACAAAATACGAAGTATTTATTTTAATTTTCACAATAGTAAAACACTTTTAATACTTAGTAAACATCGAGTGCACATACATATTATTCTAATATATAATTTTAATCAGAATTTTATAACTTCAGAATCCGAAAGATATCAAAATTATCAATTCGGCACATTGAAAGATGAAATGTACCGACATAAGACCCGGATGATGGAAAACTGTTGTTGGGTAAATGGCCCAAATAGGGTGTCGGCCCATTACCCTTAAACCGGACGAACGCCTTGGGCCATGAGAGTGCATTGCCCTATGGGCGTCTAGCCCATGAGATGGAGTAACACAGCCCATGAGTACTGGGCGATGAACGTCGCCATCCATGATCCACGCCAATAAGTGATCCATTACAAGCAACACAGCAAATTCTACCAAGGGCCGGACTACGAACGGCCCACAACCCTTTGCAGCAGCACCTGGAGCAGGCCCCAGATCCAACTGGACGTCCGTCCCCACAAATTAGGCGGGAAACCCAGATTCTAGCGGGAGGCGCATTTAATGCTAGAGATTTGGTGGTTGAGGCATCAGCCATTCACAGCCTTCCATATCAGCATAGCCAACTGACCATTGGTGGTATAAATAGTAGCATTTATTTCATTGTAAAGGATTGACAACTTATCAGCATTAGCTCCAACATATTGTCCGCAGCTCTTCTAACTACAGAAGGGGACGAACGGCCTTCGGCCTTAGCAAGTGTAATTGTATCGGGGCGTTATTCATCATTAATAATATCTGGTCCTTTACCTATTCAACCTCTCTTTAATCCATCTTATTTGCCTGTTGGGTCAGTTAATCACTCACACCTAAACAATCCACTCGAAATCCTTGGGCTTACGTGTTGGACCTGAGGGTTGAAGGAATAAACCTCAACAACTGTCAATTTAGGACCTAGATGAATGAAAATTATTAATCTAAGACCTAAGTTGTCATAAAATTTATTATATTTTTATTTTAATAATTTTAAATATTATTTAGTTTTAATAAACTAATAAACTTTTGTGAAGAAAAGTTTATCAAAAATTAGCAATGGAATTAATAAAAAATTAAATAAATCAAAACTATGAAATGTTAGGTCCTAGATTGATAGTTTTCTATCATTCAGGTCTTATACCATTACATTTTCATATTTCGACTCCCGGATTGATAATTCATCGATCTTTCGAATCCTGAATTAATAAAATTCCGACATTGAAATTTGAAGCACTTTTACTACTTTTGCAACGTATGCTTACATTTCCCACAAGGGCAAAGTCGGGATTTCCCACTAAGTCAATGCCCTCCTAAACTCTTATTGGCGAGATGGTTAGAGAAAATAATGGGTATTCTAAACAGTACTCGAATGTTATTGCTCTAAAATAACAACCAAAGTTAGTAAGGAATAAGAAGATAAATGAATTAGTAGTGAATAAGATGATTAATAATTACAATCGACTCTTAAATGTGTAAGAGTCTAGTAAAACAGTGTTAATTTCATAATTTTTGTTTGAGTGAAATTTTGTAAAAGAGTCAAGTGAAATTGTGTTTAAGTAAAATTGTGTTAATTTATGTTTAGAGTGAAATTGTGTTTTCACATGTAAATTAAATCTCATGTAAGCTTGCTTTTAAATGGCCTTAAATTCTCTGATATGACCTATTTAAGTCTCGTCTATTCATATTGAATTATTATGAAAATTGGTTCATATTTTCTCTGCTTCATGTACTTATTATGAAAATCAGTATACTGCTCTATGTACTTATTCCAAAGGATGCATTCATTTTTGTTTCCTCTATAGTTATCACACATATATTAAGTATATTGTGGTTATTTATTTTCTCTGATTAGAAAGTTTCTTATAGCATAAACTCCATGTTCTTTTATTTTATGACTTGTAAATTTCAAGTTGTGGTCTGTTCATTGTAGCATGAATCCAACCCTGTGTAAAAAAAGATTTCAATGATTAGACTCGAGAGCAAATGATACGAATTGAATAATGACCACTCGGAAATGTTTTAGAGTGGTCAACATTATCTCTTCATAATGCAAAACTAACTCTAGTGTCTCCCCATCCTTTGAATGGGGAGGCACCTCATACGCCCTAATCACTCAACTTTCAGAGTCCATGGGGATTGTAATCTTCAAATGTATTATTTATAGATGTGCCCCTCCAATATCTCCGAGCTGGTTCGGCTGCCACCACCACCTGACTCTTCTGTCACCAACAGACTGAACTTCATTATGGAAGAGGACTATCTGGTAAGTAATTATATGAGGGGTTGAAATGCAAGGTTTAATTTTATCTACTCCGTATTGAATACTACGTATAAAGTAGGGGCTCATACGAAGTACGAAGTAATTCATATTCAAGGAAGAAATAGACTCAAATTGGGCACTATGGTTTTATCAGAATCTCATATTGGACACTAAAGTTTCGAATGGATCAAATTTGACACTATGGTTTCATATGTATCTCATATTGGACACTAAAGTTTCATAATTCATTGTTTTTGGACACTGTTATGATCCAACTTGGAATCAGCGGAAAAAAAAAATAATGGAGAAGAAGATGCTACCAGAAGTTAGTTAGAGGGTGCAGGGAAAGAGAAGAAAGAGAAAAGAATTATGAGAGTGATAAGGGAATGATACTTGTCGTATCTTCCTACGTGTTCATTTCTTCCTTATATAAGATCCAAAATAAGAGTAATAACAGCTCAGTACATAAAAGGGTCCAAACAGCCAATAAATTGTAAATGGACTATAATATTTAGTAAACAGCCCAATAGTATTAAGAGGCCCAAGTATTTGATAATATTCCTTCTTAGTTTTGAATACAGCTTCCCGCTCCTGTAACAGCTCCATCTCTAGTTAGGGTCATAACAATACCCCCTCCTTTTTTAGATCCTTGTCCCCAAGGATCAGCCTTTCGGAAGAAGTTCATGAGTTTGGCCTTCGGTAGCCATCCCTCATACATCCTCCCCTTATCATCAGAGCCCAATATTAAAGTTACCCCCAGAGATCCTTTTCCTTCCATACGAATAGCCTGCACTGAATCTGGAGATATGAAGAAGCATCCATCTTGGTCAACTGGGGGAAGAGTGGTAGACACCTCTGTCTGTGGTCGGATACAGCGTTTCAGAAGAGAGACATGAAAGACTGGGTGTACTTTAGCATCACCCGGCAAGTCCAATTTGTAAGCCACCTTCCCAATTTTCTCAATTATGGTGTAAGGCCCATAGTAACGAGCTGATAGTTTTTGATTCCGCCTCATAGATACTGTTTGTTGCCTGTATGGTTGCAATTTCAAATAAACTTTATCACCCACATTGAAATCCCTGTCTGTCCTTTTGATGTCTGCATAGTGTTTCATCCGTTCTTGAGCAAGTTTGAGATTCTCTTTTAAGTCATGTTTCAGCTGTTGTCTGTGGTTTATAAATTCCTTGACATCCAGGTTGGTTGTAACAGAAGGCGTGGGCAGGGAAAGAGTTGGGGGTGTATGTCCATACAATGCCTCAAAAGGAGTGGTTTTGGTACTGGAATGGTAGTTGGTATTATACCAATACTCTGCCAGGGCCAGCCAATTGATCCATTGTTTAGGATTCTGGTGAGTCATAGCTCTAAGATAGGCCTCCAAACATTGATTCAACCTCTCTGTTTGCCCATCTGACTGGGGATGGTATGCAGATGTGTAACTCAAATGAGTACCTAGGAGTTTAAACAATTCCTTCCAAAATGTGCTTAAGAACAAAGCATCTCTATCAGTGAGTATGTCCAAGGGTTGTCCATGCAGTTTGAAGATATTATCTAGGAATAGTTTGGCCACAGTTGTGGCTGTATAGGGATGGGAAAGGGGTAAGAAATGCCCATACTTGGTAAGTCTATCAATCACAACCAGTATGACATCTTTACCTTGAGATTTTGGTAACCCTTCAATAAAATCCATACTTATATGACTCCAAGCCTGGTCAGGGATGGGTAATGGTTGTAGTAAACCCGGGTAATAACCCCCTTCTGGTTTTGTCCTGGCACACACTTCACACTCCTTTACCCAAAGGGTAATGTCACTTTTCATTTTAGGCCAGTAAAATACCCTTTTTATTCTCATGTAGGTACCTTGGATCCCAGAATGCCCACCAATTGCTGAGGCATGAAGCTCCTTGAAGATAGTGTGTCTGAGGTCAGTGGCCCTGCCAATAACTAGCCTGCCCATATTCCTAAGGATCCCTCCAAGAATCTCAAACTCAGGATGGGTTTCAGGATCCTTAACTTTGTCATTTATAATTTGAGAGAAATGAGAATCTCCTTCATAACTGTTTAGTACTTGCTGCATCCATGTAGGTTTGATAATAGATACTGAATAACAACTGAATTCCTCTGTTTCCACCCTTGATAGGGCATCAGCCACCTTATTTTCCACCCCTCTCTTATAGAGTATTTCATAATCCATTCCCAAAAGCTTAGTTATCCATTTCTGCTGCAGTGGGGTGGTAATTTTCTGGTCTAACAGGTGTTTTAAGGCCTGTTGATCAGTCTTGATGATGAACTTACTACCCTGTAGGTAATGCCTCCACTTTTGGATGGCCATAAGCACAGCTAGAAACTCCTTTTCATATACTGAGAGTCCCATGTGTCTAATTCCCAGCTTTTTACTTAAAAATGCTAGAGGTCTTCCTTCCTGCATCAAGACTGCTCCTATGCCACTACCACTCGCGTCAGTTTCAACAATGAAAGGCTTGGTGAAATCTGGCAGTGCCAATACTGGTGTGGTGGTCATGGCAGTCTTCAGCTCCCTAAAGGCATGTTCTGCATCCGAGTTCCAAACAAACCCCCCTTTTTTCAGTAAAGCTGTGAGAGGTCTACTAATAATTCCATAGCCCTTCACAAATTTCCTGTAATAACCTGTTAGCCCCAGGAATCCCCTCAATCCCTTCAAGGTGGTTGGGGTGGGCCAGTTGAGCATGCTCTCAATTTTTTCAGGATCAGTAGCAACCCCATTATGGGATATGATATGTCCCAAATATGAAACTTCTTCCTGCCCAAAAATGCATTTGCTTTTCTTTGCATAAAGCTGATGTTTCCTTAGTAATCCTAGAGCCATTTTGAGATCATGTATGTGTTGTTGCCAGGTAGGACTATATACCAATATATCATCAAAAAACACCAAAACTGTTTTTCTCAAGTAATCTTTAAAAATCTGATTCATTAATGACTGAAAGGTAGCCGGGGCATTGCACAGCCCAAAGGGCATAACTAGGAACTCGTAATGCCCATGGTGTGTTCTAAATGCTGTCAGATACCTGTGTTCGGGAGCCATGAGTATCTGAAAATACCCTGATCTTAAATCTATTTTAGAGAAGAATTTTGCCCCTCTTAGCTCATCTAGTAGTTCATCAATGACTGGGATAGGATAATCATGTTTGATAGTGAGGCTGTTGAGATACCTGTAGTCAACACACATTCTCCAGGTGCCATCCTTTTTCTTCACCAATAGTACTGGAGATGAGAATGGACTCTTGCTAGGTTGGATTTCTCCAGTAGATAGGAGTTCAGCTACAATTTTCTCTATTTCATCCTTTTGACTGTGGGATACTCTATATGGATATTGTTGTTTAGGTTGGCTTCCTGGTTTTAACAAAATCTGGTGTTCAACCCCTCTTGGGGGAGGCAAGGAAGTAGGTTTTTCAAACACATCTTCAAACTCTTCCAAAAGTTTTTCCAGCCCTTCAGGTGGGTCTAGTCCAGGTTCCTTCAGTTTGACCCAGTAAACTTCTTCCACTGAATTTGATTTTTCTTCATGAATCATGTGGCATAACATCTGGCAAGTGATTAGGGGGCATTTATCTTCACATTGTAACTCAATTTGTGCATCTTCTGTGGTTACAGTAACACTCATCTTCTGGTAGTCATACTTAACTGGAGTTAGATCCCTGAGCCAGTCTCCTCCCAATATCAAGTCAAATTCATTGGTGTCCAGAACTCTGAAGGTGTATTCAAAGGTATGATGCTGCATTTCCCAATTTAGATTAGATATCTGTGTAGTGCTGCTCATTTTGATTCCTCCTGCAGTTGTAACTCTCAAAGGGTTAGCTTCTATTTCCTTGCATCCCAACTTGTGCACTGTATTTTGGCTAATGAAGCTTATGGAAGCACCAGAGTCAATGAGTATATGTATTTTGTGTTTTCCAATTTTTCCCCACAGAGTCATGGTAGTGTTCCCCCTAGTCTTGCTGGCAGCTCCCAGAGTTAGTAATACCTCATCGAGGTCATTAATCTCTTCCTCTTCTTGGGGTATATTTTTGGATGGAGTTTCTGACTCATTTTCTGCTAGCAACACATAAACATGTCTTTGTCTGCACCTGTGTCCAGGGGTGAATTTTTCATCGCAATTAAAACATAATCCCTTTTCTCTTCTTGATGTCATTTCTGCAGGAGTAAGCAGCTTGAAAGGGGGAGCAGTGGGCAGGCTTCCTGGCATCTTCTGGTGCCCCACTGATGTTTCCACTTTCTTGGGTATGGTTTGGGTGCCATATGATGCCCTTCCCCCCAACTTAATCCTCCTAGTTAATGTGTCCAGAGCTAAAAGCTGATTCCTGACCAAATCAATAGCTGAATCCAAGGTGGTAGGTTTGAATAATTTAATAAAAGCTTTTAACTCTTCTGTGAGTCCACTGATAAAACTAGCAACAAAGTACTGTTCAGTAAACAACCCCTTGTGCAACAACAACATACATGATTTCAATTCCTCAAATTTTTCAACATAATTTTCATAGTCATTACCCATTCTGAGTTTATTGAAATCTTCAATGACTGATGACTCTTTTAGGCCCTCAAAACGAGATGATATGACCCCCATAAATTGTTCCCATGTTAACAATGTAATATCAGTTTCAAGGTGTTGATACCATGATAGGGCCTTCCCTTCAAAATGCATAACAGCCAGAGTAACACGCTGATCAGGGGGAATGTGGGGCATTAGCTTAAAATACCCTTGGCATTTGATCGTCCACGCTCGAGAGTTAGATCCATCAAATCTGGGAAAGTCTAGCTTAGGAAAGGGTAGGTGCGGTTGGTGATTACCTGGGTTCCCATTATTGCTAAACCTCTGATATAATCTGTCACCTTGCAGGTTATGTATGTCCATGGCCGTTGGTGGTTTTCCCAGGATTGAAGGTTCAGTAGCAAAAGGGTTGTCATCTGTAAAGCTCCCTCCAGATCGGCCCTTATTAACAGGTGAACTAGAATTTATTTGAGGTTCTGATCTGACTTCTATGGTGTCCATCCTTTTCTGTATATTATCCAATTGTTTAAGGATTTCCATCTGGATCTCCTGGGCTCGGGACTGAATCTCCCCTTGTTTCTGTTCTGCAGCTTCTCTTTTCAGAATCTCTGCCATGAGAGATTGTTCAATCCGTTTCTGACCATCCAAGCATTCCTTCAATCGGGTACCCTCTGCCATCTACCTGGATCAGAACGGCTCTGATACCAAATGTTATGATCCAACTTGGAATCAGCGGAAAAAAAAATAATGGAGAAGAAGATGCTACCAGAAGTTAGTTAGAGGGTGCAGGGAAAGAGAAGAAAGAGAAAAGAATTATGAGAGTGATAAGGGAATGATACTTGTCGTATCTTCCTACGTGTTCATTTCTTCCTTATATAAGATCCAAAATAAGAGTAATAACAGCTCAGTACATAAAAGGGTCCAAACAGCCAATAAATTGTAAATGGACTATAATATTTAGTAAACAGCCCAATAGTATTAAGAGGCCCAAGTATTTGATAATATTCCTTCTTAGTTTTGAATACAGCTTCCCGCTCCTGTAACAGCTCCATCTCTAGTTAGGGTCATAACAGACACTCACTTATATTGGATAAAGATCAAATTGGACACTCACTTATATTGAATTATAAAACTTTAGTGTCCAATATGAGATACATATGAAACCATAGTGTCAAATTTGATCCATTTGAAACCTTAGTATCCAATATGAGATTTTGATGAAATCATAGTGTCCAATTTGAACCTTATACGTTCTACCCCAGTAACAACCGAGAGTTGCAGGAAAAAACAAAAAAAAAAAACAAAGATTCATAGAGAACTGAAAAGTTGGGAAGAGTAAGAGAAGGCAGTCATCATTTACTGTTTTATACAACTGTCTGATCATCGGAAAGACAAGGGACGATTTGTGGAATAAAGTGATGATCAGAGTACCTCTTGGATGGGCCATGGATGAATGGAGATGCCTTCCTCCTATATAACTGAAGAGCTCCTACCTGGCCATCCATTCTTTTTCTTATAACTAGTAAGTCTAGTAATTAATCCATATAAAAACAATCCTTGCAAAAAATATTCACCATTTCAGCTTCGAGACAACGGCCAGTTGAAGACGAGAAAAAAATGTCAGTCAATTTTGTATCTGCAAGCAGAAATTCGGTCTCTATCCAGAGAAAGATAATCCAAACCTGTTTGGATCTCTGCAATTATGAGGAGGTTCCTCTCCAAGTCTGCGCATATTACTGTTCTGCCATCTCTGCCTTCATCCCTGGCCTCAAAGGCGTGGCGATCGACACTCTGAAATCATTCGGCGTCCAGATTGTCCATATCAACGAGACCAACCTTGCTGATCAACCCCGATTCGAGTCGGAAGAAGAGGAGGGAGTTTTGTTGGTTCACATAGGTCTAGCGATTTTGGTACTCTACAATGACGTCTTTAAACAAAGCTATGCCCGTTTGATGAGGATTTGGACCCTATTTCTTCTGGCTAAGATTGCCTGTTTTGCTGAATACATATTAGAGGACGATGAGTTCCCGCCGCTGATAGCGATTGAAAAGGCAGCCATTATAAGAAGGATGCTTGGGGGTATGCATGGGTTGAGGGCAAATGTGCTTACCACAATATTGGCTAATCGAGATGAATCTCAAACAATTGGTAGAGTCTGCTCTTATCTGGCCGAAGTTGTGGCTTGGACTGATATGTCTGTACCGAAGATAATCGGCGACACACTTTTACTCACCGGATCTCCTGTGCTTACACTTCCTGAGATTCGTGATGAGTTGCATAATCTTCATGCCGCTTTCACGAAAATCAATCAGTCATCGAGGCCGCAATACTACGGAATAATGTATCCCTCATCTTCTAGTCTAATCATCAACGAATCAAATTTTCCTTACCTGTTTGCAATTGGTCGGGAATTCTTCTACGATCGGGTTCCTAAAACTGTCCATCCTAAGCCAGCTGAGATCCGTAACCGTCAGAAGAGGGAGAGAACGCCGCCGCCGCCTGAAGAAGGCCGCCTTGCAGATGAGTTGTTCAGAATGTACCGTCAGTGGGTGAGGATATCATCAACCGAATCATCACCACGGACGGTTGGATCGGAAGCTAGTGGCCCTGCAGAAGAACTGATCACATCAGAGCACTCTGTTACGCCTATATACACAAACCACACCATGGATTTTCTCTTTATAGACAGAATGGTCGCCCTCAACGCTCGGCATATGCAAACTATGGAGGCTCGTGGCAAATTTGATAGAAGGAAATCAATCAAACGACCTTGGAGTTGAATTTTTATCAATGAAGACAGGAAGTTCATGAATCTGCAGAGTATCTTCGTTTTTAATTCTCTCCTTTTTACCTACTCGCCTTCTCTATTGGTCTATTGCTTTCTTTTATCAATGTTCTTTTATGCACTAAGAAGGGTCTATCACTAATTTATTGGAGTGTTTGTAACACCAAAAAACTTCAGGAACTCTTCAATTTTAACTTAGGAGCCTTTGTTAGCTTTGGATTCATTGACTTGGTCATTTATTCTCACAGTGTCTCACTTGTTTATGTCGATGCCATTGATCCGTTTAAGACGAAGAAGCTTTATCTTACTTTTTTGGCCATTTAGTAAAGAAACAGACCTGGTAATACTTTTTTGAGTATTTCGTACCACGGAAGTATAAAATCAGCCCACGTGTCTCCAAACGAGCCGTATATAAATTTAAGGTGACAACTCCGGTACCTTTCTAAAATATGGGATACCGTACTTATCATTCATTTGATTGGACCACATCAATTAATCATTGTTAATTTAGATTTAAATAATGATAGATTCTATGGTATCCAAAATATACCATACCTTTGTCCAAATGGACTCATGGACCAATAAGAATGATTCAGTTGAATTATTTAAATCTAAATTAAAAGGCATATAATGATTTGAACAAATCAAATGCATGGTAGGTACGGTACCCCATTTTTTAAATGGGTACCGGAGTTGTCACCTTAAATAATTCAACTGCTACATTCACATTGGTCCATGTGGACAAAGGTATGGTACCTTATGGGTACCATAGAATCTATCTAAATTTAATGCTTGAAATTTGAATTAGGAATTGTCCAAAATGAGGTCTTGCAGTGGGAGAGATTGTAAGTGACAAAATGGTGATTTGATGTCTCTTTCTAAAAGTGACTCACTCAATCTCAACCATTCAAATATTCCTATGATTTGGACTCCCACGAACTATAGTTAAGGTTATAGGGGACATTTGAGGCATTGAATATTTTGTCTCACAATTTGGAATCCAAATGGATTTAACTCTAGAAATTATAAGCTTTACTGGAAAGCCAATATTTTACTCCAAGACATCAGTTTCGTGTTGCTTTAGTAGTCTCATGTTTATAGCATGGTACAACCCCCAAGACTGAAATTGATCATTAGTCGCATGTATTATTACATGTCTCTGCTGAGTGTTCAACAGCCTGTGGCGATGACGGACAAATGTAATATGTCAGAGTGTATATTAAGGTTAGTGTGTTGAGTGGAGTGTATATTGTAATAACGTATGTGCACACTAATAAATTATTTGTATCTACTTAATAAATTCGAAATTGAATATTTTGTGCTTGGTCTACATCAATAAAGTAACGCTGAAACATGTCTACAAAATAGTGACTACCCTTGATTACATTAGTAATACTCAAATCTCCTAGATTGTTTAAATGCTGCATTACATGGTACCTAAATCTATTCTCAAATGTTGAAGTTGATGACTTCTATATCATCTAGATCGCCAAATATATACAAGCTTTTTGTAATCTGAGAGCTTGTCTTGCGTTGTGGTTGTACCAGATTTTTATTTTCATGAAATCCAGCTCCGTGACAAACGTCAGGGTGATGCTCTATGATCTTGAAATACAGATGTCACGTCCCGGACCTACCTGGAAACGTCAACAACTGTTGTACAATTCAGTTAAGTCAACCACGATCAAGCTTACCCGAATCATACAAGGCATCACAAATATCATTTACACAAACTTCATCCATAAACAAACATAATAAGCAATTCAATACGCAGCAGAAAGTAATAAGTTTAAAACCAAATGCCAAATAGGACAAAACATGAGCTCGCGGGCTCCAAAGTAAAAGATGTCCATGAGCATGTTTATTATAGTTTAGAAAACAGAATGTAGGAAGGACGAACCAAGTTTTCTCTCCAAGTGATCACTCGAGCAATGAGTACAGGAAACAAGCCTTAGCATCATCCTGAAATCAGGGGCGGCCCTGGGGGGTGCAAGTGGGGCGGGCGCCCTAGAAAAAAAAATGGGTAAAAAATAGGCCCAAGTTTAGTTCTTTGTATTAGGTGTGAGTAGGTTCATTTTCCCACGCTACAGTAACAAATTTTCGGGTGGAATTTGTTGAAGTTCTTCAAAATAGATTTTTTTTGTGAAAACTTATGATCATGTTCTCTATGAAGCGTAGATTAATTAAAAAAATCAATTTAAAGTTCAATTTAGATGTCAGTTAAATAAATAATTGAAAAACACTGAGTTTGTATACATATTTTGGTGCATTGTTTTTCAGTAATTTATTTAACTGACTTCACGATTGAATTTTAAGCTGAAATTTTATGGACATGATCTACATTTGATGACAAACATTCTCTTAAAATTTCATAAAAAATCAATCGATATCAGATTAGTCTCATATGATTATTTGATTAGTTTATTAATTCATTCTATTCATAGTTGGTTTGATTTCTTAATTGTTGATTGTTTTGTGCTCAGTGTTGGTGTTATAAATTGTTGATTTTGTTAGACAAACATTTCCAATTATGATAAATGTTATAAATTTAATTAATTTCAAGGTGTAATAAAAAGGATCGAATCTGAATAAGATAAATAAAAGTTTAATGGAAAAGTCTATGTGTGTCAACAAGTCAAATTCTGAATGTCTTCTTCAAGATGAGAACTCATACAGGAACAATAACTTAGCTACTAAAAATGGAACGGCTCAGAATGCTTACATCATTGGAGGGGGGATTAAGGAGGTGATAATAATAGAGTTATTTCCTTAGATATGACTTAAACATTGATAAAATGTACAATTAGGATTACCATTGTTTCATTCCTAAATTTTTATTATGCTTGTCAATTTTGATAGAAAAGAGTTCTACAATTTTTTGTAACATTAGACCCATTTTAATTTTTCGCCCCTAGACCTTCGAACATGCAGGGCCACCCCTGCCTGAAATGATGGTGGGATGCCCCCGAAGGGGTCAGTACTTCCCTGTAACTTTAAACTACTAGTGATGATGACAGACTTATTTTCATGTTTGAAGCATAAGATATACGTAGTAGATTATAAAAAAAATCCAGGATCACAACGGATAAGAATTTACACTATCTTCTGTGAAAATATGATCAAATAATCTGATCAATGAGAATAACTAAACTAGAATCATTCTTAAATGTGACAACTTATAGGTACTCAAGACCCTTCAAGGACTTGGGGGGCCAAGGTGGATAGCGTTTGCAAATCTCTATGTCTTCAACGAAAAATTTCAGCATATCAATTTCAGAAAAAAAAACATTATGTGGACAACACCAGAACTAAAATAAAACAGAATTTACTTACATTTACGTATACCACATTCATGAATCCTGATCCTCTACAAAGTAGCTATGGACTGAAACCGGGCCGCCCGGCCCCGGACCGGCACCAGTACTGTTTAGAACCGGCCCGGCCCAGTGACCGGGCCCTGACCGGTCCGGGTGGGCCCGGGTGGCCTCCTAGCCGTTGGGATTATTCCCAAATGGCTCTATAGCCGTTGGAGGCTGAGGAGGGGGGTCGTGGGTGTTTTGAGGTAGGGGAGGGGGTGGGGGTGGGGGGGGTGGGGGTACAAAAAATCCTATATACTTCGTATACTCCTATTTTCTCTACATTTTTTCTCCAACTCTTCCTACAATCCTACTCTCTATTCTCTAATGCTCTTAATCTTCTTCATCTTCTCCAATTCTCTCTACATATATTATTTATACAATTATATCTACTTATGAATACATATATTATATTACTAATATTTATTATCTACTTAAAATAAACTTATTATCTACTGAATATCTACTTATTATCTACTTTTTATATTCTTGTTATTTACTTATATAGTTATATTTACATACGGAGTATTACTTTTACTTAATATATACTTATATATATTAAAGTATTAAATACTACCTCCGTTCTCTTTTAGTTGCAACATTGGACTTTTTGCACTATTCACATATTCTATTTTGACTATATTTTATTAATTAATGTATTATAAATTAAATTTTTAAAAAAATATTGTTAAATTCCTCTCATTCTAAATTTTCAAAATATGAATTTTTTATTTTTTTTAACTAATAAGGAATGAAAGATATTAATAGTCAAACTTGTGCGTTGGCAAACGTGAAATGTTGACTGTTGCAATTAATATGGAACGGAGGAAGTATAAGTGTATTATTACTCATCTTATTGTAATATACTTATAGTTAATTAATACTAGCGGAGTACGCACTATGTGCGAATAATGCCCAATATTTACATATATTTTTTTGCCATATTGTTATGTGCTAATTTTCTGTTGATATTTTTTCACTTGTCTAAATTTACATTGTCTTTATTTGATCAGTAACTTTTAAAAACTGGCTTCTTACTTTTAAAATGATAATTTGAATTTTAAATAAAAGGTGGTTAGTTTACTATAAAGTTTAATTTCTTGTTAGTTACTGGTTAACATGAATTTGGTAAAAGTTTGGTATAACATTAGCAAAAGTGTTCCTATACAAAAGTTAGACTAAAAAAAAGAGTGAAGGATCGGAGTTGTCTTTAGGGATCGTGAATTCAATGAACAAGTTGGTTTGATTTATTTAAGAAGTCTAAATAGAATAATAGAACATCACTTGCTTTGTCACCAATTCTTTAAAGAAAAGAGCATAAGAAATCCCTTAAAGAAGTATAGTAAAGAAATAGTTGAGAGTAGGATAATGGTGCAATTCTTATGTTATATCTCTAATTCATACGATTATAGAAATAGGATGAAACCCAAGAACATGTGAGACACACTGCTACAAAGAAGGCCTAGTTTTCACGTCGGTTAATTATACCATCTTACATCAGTTTTTAAACAGACGTGAAATGCAAAGACGTAAAAATAATTTCTTATTATGTCAATTAATAAACAGACATAATAGTTAAGTTACCATGTGGGTACCGACGTAAGAAATAAGCATTTTTTATAATTAACTAAGACCTATTACGTCAGGTATTTTGTAAAACCGACATAAGGAAAAAGCGTTTTTTTATAATTAACTAAGATCTACCACATCTTGTTTTAAAAAAAGATCTACCACATCTATAATTAACTAAGATCTACCACATTGGTTTTCTTGAAAATTGACATAAAAAGCATTAATTTAAAACAAAAAATACATATTAACTTCAGTTTTTAAAGAAACCAAAGTTATAGGCCGTATGTATTTTTAAAAAGAAAAGAAAAACAGCATTATGCATTTAAATTGCCCAGGAGACAACTCAATTTTCTCTATTGCATGAAGAATATTATTG